CCTGTTGACAAGACACATGGAGCTGCACTGATGGAGCCAGAGCCCTGGAGCCGGAGGAGTCACGTGGAGACCCAGGCCAGTGCTGAGATGTCTCTACTGCCACTGGATCCACAAGACTTTCCACCCACTGGCCTGTGATCTTCCTGCACTCAGCATCATTGCATGTGTTTCATGAGTCTGAAGAAGAATTCACAGAGTGGTACTGGACATATGGGCTAATATCAGACTTATTGACTTGATCTGGACTGGGCTGGGATATTTTCTTAATGTAAATTTACTCTTTATATAAGCTCTTTCCTATACACACGATTGTCTATAAATTTGTTTCTCTAGTCGACCCAGACTAACACAGGGAGCTAATAACAATGAGTATAAATATGAAGAAAATGTTCTAAAACTGATTATAGTGATTATTGTACAGCTCTTCTTGATTTGATTGAGCTAGTGAATTGTATGGTAAGTGAATTATATGCCAATAACACTGTTTAAAAAAATAGTACTCTGAGGTGCAGATGGCTTCCAAAATCCAGTGGTGGTGCCAGCAGCAGCTAGAGGCAATTTAAAAAAAAAGTAGAGATTTGAAAATGCAACAAAAAGGGTTATTGAGCAACACAAAATTAGAAAATCAGTGAACACTATAACTCGAGATTTAGTCATGACACATTGAATAATTTCAAGGATCCTCTAAACAATGAGAGAATTTTCCAAACTGTTAAAGGATTGGCTCCACAGAAAGTTACATGGCTAATGAAATTGTGAATGGAAGCTCTATCTGAAACAGAGAAATTGCTAATGACATGGATTGAGGACCAAGAACAAAAGTGAATCCTCTCGGCATGTTGATGGTTATTGTGAAGGCGCAAGCTTGTCCGAGATGCTGAAAGAGAAACAGGCCCAGGCTATAATATCAGACTCAATCCAAATCACTTAGGGTTCTGTTCCACAGAACATGTCTGGAAGGTTAAGTGGCAGACGCGCGACAGTAATATGAATTATGACTGCAATATGAACGATGGAAACTTTAGGAGATTTCCAAGGGTATTCATAACTCCCATGGCTTTCACAATCTCACCCCACATAAGATGAAAAGGTGTTGAGAAAACTTGGTTGAGAACTAATCGAGGCCTCCCAGAGTCGGCCTCTGGTTCTAACCTTGCGTCCACCTCCCTGTCTCCTGGCTATAGGACTATAGGGTCAATATCTTCCTTCGGCAGCAGTGGAACGACCCCCGGCTGGCATACAACGAATACCCTGACGACTCTCTGGACCTGGACCCATCCATGTTGGATTCCATTTGGAAACCTGATCTGTTCTTCGCCAATGAGAAGGGGGCCCACTTCCACGAGATCACCACAGACAACAAACTGCTAAGGATCTCCCGGAATGGGAATGTGCTCTACAGCATCCGGTGAGTTCTGTATAAGCTCAGCACCTATGTCTCCAGAATGCACCTTGCTCCATTGCCTTCCAGGAGCACACAATAAGAGGGGGCTACCAGGGGAAGCGGGTTCAGGCAAGTCAACACCTGTGCAGAACAGGCAGACCCAGCTTGGTAACTGATGCTCAGCAAGTCAGAATCAAAGCGATGTGCAGTCCTATGAGACAGTGCTTCATTCCAGCCAGAGAAACCAGAGGTGGTTTCCTAGAGATGGTGGGTCAGTTGGTCCCTAAAGTTAGGCAACATTTCAGTAAACAGGGGTGAGTAATGGGTACTCGGAGATGTTCAGCATCACGCGCAAAGGCACCACATCTGGAACATCAACCTCAGCATAGGCCTGCCAGGCACATGGTGCTGCCCTCAGCTAATAAGCCAGGGATGCTCTGTCATTCCTGTGGCCCCTTTCTGCCCCCATATCTTGTATGCTAAGGCTAGGAGGCTAGGACCCCCTTCCCCAGCTGGGGGGGGTGGCATCCTGTACATAGTGATTAGGAGCAAAGTTTTCAGTCTCCACACACCACCTCTACCCACCAAATCCCCAGTCTCCTCCTCCAGGGCACAGGGGAAATGACCAATGCCTGAGAGGGAGAGGAGTGGCCTTGTCCAAAAAGCCCACCCAAAGCCACTGCTTTCAGGCCCATTCCAACGCATAGCGACCCTACAGGATGGAGGCGACCTGCCCCACAGAGTTTCCAGTTGGAATCTACCCAGAAGCAGATGACCACATGCTCCTCCCCTGGAGGCAGCTGGCGGGTCTGCACACTGCCCTTTAGGGAAGCAGCGGTGTGCTTTAGCCAGGGCATCCGCAGGGCTCCTTGAGCACTCACGTACTAACCTGGACACTTCACATAGATTATTTTAAATCTACCCTGGTGGTGTAGTCAGCTGCCTGTTGGGCTGCTAACTGCAAGGTCAGCAGTTTGAACCCACCAGCCGCTCTGCTGGGGACCCATGAGGCTTCCTACTCCTGTAGAAATTTACAGCCTCCGAAATCCACTAGGGTAGCCCCGCGCTGTCTTATAAGATCACAGTGAGTTAGAATCGGCTCCATGGCAGAGAGAGAGTAAGAAAAAACTCATGAAGTAGGTTTTATTATACCCCTTTTGCAGATTATATGAATTAAGATCTGGAAGTTTGAATATCTTTCCAAAGGACCTAAACATGATTCTCCCTGCCCCTCTATCACTTCTTCAGGGGCAATAAGCCTTGTTATCTCTCATTAGTCAATGAGAGTGATGGGCAACAAAGGTTCTAGTTCTCAGGTAAGACTGAGCCCAGATCCTCTCAGGCAGTGAGCAGCCTGGGTGGGGGAGGGACCTTTGGCACCTCAATAGGGACAAGAAGAGAGGTGCACTCAGAGGAACCAGGGGATGGTGGGCCTTCCCCATCCTGGAGCCTGTCCCCACCCAGACTGGAAGGAGGCTGGGCCCAGGAAGTGGGCACCGAGGCCCTCACAACCTGGGGAGGGGAGCTGTCACCCTGCTTGGATTTTGCTCCTGCCAGACAAGGTTCACATCTCCGGGAAGCTCAGCCCCAGTGCAGCACGACAGAAGGACAAATCAGCAGAATGTGATGTTCCCAAGGTCATTCAACTTCAGGACATTAACCTACTGTGACAGCTGTCCCATTTTGGAGCTTTTATCTTGAAATCCAACTGTATTCGTCCTCCCTCCTCGTGCTTCTCTCTCTTTCCCCCTCACCTTGCCCCCACCCCCTGCCCCCAGGCTTCTCTCTTGTGCTGAAAGCCCTGTGTGAGTGAGGGGATGGAATGCACACCAGTTATGTAGTTATGTGCTTCCAGGACACCACCAATGAGGATCTCAGGGCATAAGGGCCAGCTCTTCCAGGCAGCCGGGCTGGAGAGCCAGCGAGCAACCATGTGCACTAGCCTTTGGGGGACTAAGACTCCAAAGGCCAGGAGGTTTAAGTCACTTGGAACCACCTGCTTGCTATGCTACCTTAGACAAGTCCCTTCTTATCCCTCCCTGCACCCCAGTCCACACACCTGTCAAATGAGGAAGTTGCTCGATGACCTAAGACTCTGGGCTCCAAGATCCTGTGCCTCTGAGACTCTTCTTTCTCTGTTCCTTGCGGCAAGGGCGGGCGCGCGGATGTTGGCAGGACCTTCCAAGCTGCAGCCTGGTGGCCCACCCTGAGCTGCAGGCCTCAGATCCTGAAAGAAGGCTCTTTCTGGCTTTGAGGCGGCAGTCAGCCAGCCTCTGAAAAGGGATGAATAGCCCAAATTAAACAGCTGGCCTAGGCGTCTAGGGCGCTCTCCACTCCCTGAGAGACCCCTGCATTAGCCTACAGATGTGAGTCAGCTGTGTTTGGACACCCAGAAGGCTGGGGGTTCAGGGGATGCTCTTCAAAATCACATGTGATGAGACAGTGTGTGAAGGGAAGCAGCCGGGAGGCACAGCAGCATCTGCTCTGCCTGCCGTGCTCAGTGCTCGGAGCGAGCCTGAGGCGGGGCTGTTCAACAGAAAAGCGTGGGCTCTGTCCCTGCCAGCGGAACCACAGAAGTGTGGGACGGGACGGGCCTCTCTTGGTTTCCAGGTCTTTATACAGCTTTCTCTCTCAAAGCCAGACAGATTCCAAAGAAAGCCAGAAGGTCCGCTGATTGTGCATGGCCCTGTAGATAACCTCTTTCAGTCCTCTGCACTGCTACTTACATATCTGGAATGTACAAATACAAATATACAAATACAAATATGTTTATTCCATATCAAAATGCACGCATGTTTAGTCCAGTCAATGGTAGTTGTCTGCCTTCCTTTATCTCCCCTGGGCAAATTGTTATCTAACGGAAACAAGAATAAAATCACTGCCCCTCCAGTGTGGCACCAGCGTTATTCAACTCTTTTCTCTTTCTAGAATCACCCTGACATTGGCCTGCCCGATGGACTTGAAGAATTTCCCCATGGACGTCCAGACATGCATCATGCAACTCGAAAGCTGTGAGTCCCCTGCATGAGGCCTCTAAGCAGAACCCAGGTCCCACTGACCCTCGAGACAGGGAGACATTCTCACTCAGTTCCCTCTAACCAGAGCGCCCAAGGATTGCTGTAATTGCCTGACACCCTCAATGAGGGACTTTGCTTTTAGAGAATGCATTAGAAATCTAACTCCTCTTACACTGTCCAACGGAATCATAAGCTGAGGAGCCTGCAGCCTTCTCTAAAGAGGCACTGTTCCAGGTCCCTGGGACTGTCCTCTCCAGGAACAGAGCAGAATCGCTTGAATAAGTCATGGATGCTCATCCCAGCAGGGGAGATAGATGGCTTCACCAGAAATAACCCAAGGCAGAAAATGGTCAGGGTGCTGCGGGGGGTACAAACACCATGTCTCCTGGCCGAAGGAGTGCTTGCTTCTGCTTGGGAAGGAGAGTCAATAGTTCAGAGATCTCCTGTGGACACGGGTCTTCACAGAGGAGGCTGCTGAGTTCTTCGACTGCAAACACAGGAGCCAATCTGGCTGACTTAAAAATTTAATGAAATAAAAGGGCATAGGCACTACTAGTGGGCTTGCTGGGAAAGGCAAGGCTAGGAGCCAGGGCAGGAGATTTAGACCACAGCATCTAAGGGCTGTTTCCTCACAGCACAGCCTCTCAGGGAATCAGTATCAACCAACTCTGAACCTTCAGTCTCTTCATTCAAAAATCAGAGTCTTAGGGCAAAGGGTCTGGTTGGAGTCTCACCTTGACCCCGACTATCAGCCCCACCAACATGGAAGCAATGGGATGTCTCCCAGAGGAAAAGGGGGGTTCTTCTTGGTGCAGACAGAATAGCGAGTGTCGGCAGCAGAAGAAGCTGAGCTGGGATGCTGGAAGAGGTACAGGGGCAGTGGAAGGGCTGAAGGGCTAGAGGGTGGAAGGAAACAGTCAAACCAGCTCTGTCTCCTTTGTGTGTGTGGGGGGGGGGGCGGGGGCAGCATGCGCTTGTGATTTCTGTCAAATGTTCGATGGCTGTCTCAGCCCTAAGCCCTGGCCAACCTTGTCTGCTTCACCTTAGTGTTTCTGGGTAATGATTGCTCCTCATTCTGATCCCTTCCCAGTTGGCTACACCATGAATGACCTCATCTTTGAGTGGCAGGAGCAGGGAGCTGTACAAGTAGCAGATGGCCTAACGCTTCCCCAATTTATCCTGAAGGAAGAGAAAGACTTGAGGTACTGCACCAAGCATTATAACACAGGTAAGTGTGAGAGGCCACCGTCCCTCCTCCCTTTGTGCCCCCAACACCTGGGCTGGAGGTTATTGCCAACTTTCATGCAACCGTTGATTCAACAGACCTTAGGAAATACCTACGATGGGCACAGCTCTGTACTTACTACCTGGTGGCTAAGAGAGTAGGTTTGAACCCAAATAGGAACTCTAATACATTGTTTTTGTGGATTCTGGGACAAGTAACTTAAGCTTAGGCTACCTCCAATTGCAAGGGAATCTGAGAAATATAGACTTTCGTCTATGTAGCAGTATGTCCAGCAAAATGGACTTCCTTATTCCTAAGCCAGGGAAACCCATTGCCATCAGTTCGATTGTAACGTGTGGCAACCTCATTTGCAACAGAGTAAATCTTCTACACAGGGTTTCCGTGGCTGGAATCATTGCAGAAGCAAACCACCAGACCTTTCTTCTGCGGTGCCACTGGTGGCTTCATACTGTCAAGCTTTAGTTAGTTGTCAAATCCAAAACACATGTGACTCCAGGGACCATTCCTCAGCACAAGGCAGAAGCTACTATTAAGATGCCGCCACCTAGCAAACAGTCTGCTAGTGAGGAAGTGGTATTTCTGGTCAAGCAAAAGCACCGAGCAGAGCATGCTCACATTAGATCTCAGCAAAAGGGAGCTGAGAGATGACAGAGAGGATTAATAAGCAGCAAAGTGGGAAGGGCCCACTAGACTGTGGGGCCTGAGAGGATGGGAAACCACAGCTGTTGGGCTCACTGCCATTGTAGCAAAGCCACAGACTCTGTTACAAGTGAAAGCAAAGAGCTTTCTTGAGAGGTAGAGCGATTCACCCACCACTTGTGTGTCAGTTCGTCATGCCGTGGTGGCTGGCATGGTGCCATGATGCTGGTATTTCAGATAATAGCAGGGTCACCCAAGGTGAGCAGATTCAGCAGAGCTTCCAGATGAAGAACACTTCTGAGGATTTAGTCACTGAGAAGCTCGTGAATAGCAGCAGAAGATTATCACATACAGTGTTAGAAGATGACCCGGTCGGGTCAAAAGGCATTCAACATATGACTGAAGAAGAACTGCCTCCCAAAATAGAGTCCACCGTAAGGACATGGAGCCAAGTGTTCAGGACTTTCATTTGCTGATGAGGCGTGACTCAAAATGAGGAGAAACAGCTTCCAACTCCTGTTAATAATTTTAACTTTTAATGTACAAAGTATGAATCCAGGAACATTGGAGCTCATCAAAAGTGAAATTGACTACAAAAAGATCGGTCTCCTAGGCACTAGTGAGCTGAAATGGACTGGTACTGGCCAATCAGATCAGACCATCATCTGGCTTCCTATGCCAGGAATGACAATTTCAAGAGGAATGGTGTCACACTCATCATCAAAAAGGGCATTTCGAGATCTGTGTTAGAATGATGCTGTCTGTGATAGGGTGTTTACACACAAAAGGAAGTTCAGTAAATACAACTATTATACAAATGTGTGCACCAACCACTAAAGCTAGAATGAAGAAATTGAAGAATTCAACCAACATCTTTCCTCTGAAATTGAGCACAGATGCAATCAAGATGCATTGATAATTACTGGTGATTGTAATGTGAAATTCGGAAACAATGAGGAAGGAATGATGGTTGGAAAATATGGTCCTGGTGATAGAAATAAAGCTGGAGATTGCATGATAGAATTTTGCAAAACAGATACAAGCACCTCTTTTTCATGGTAACAATACACATGGACTTCCCCATACAGAATACACAGAAATCAAAGTGATACAGCTTGGGAAAAAATGATGGAGAAGCTCAATATCAGAAGTCAAAAAAAGAAGCTGAAGGCTGACTGTGGAATAGATCATCAATTTCTCATATATCAGTTCAATTTGAAGCTAAAAATATTTTCAAGTCCAAAATAGCCAAAACACAACCTTTGAGTCTCTCTACCACACCTGAATTTTGAGAATATCCCAGGAACAGAGTTGCTACGTTGGAACTAATGACAGAAGACCTTATGAGTTGTGGAAGGACATCAAGAGCATCATTCATGAAGAAAACAAAAGGTCATTAAAAAAGACAGGAAAGAAAGAAAAGATCAAGTGGATGTCAGAAGATACTCTGAAATTTACCTTTACTCGTAGAGTAGCTAAAGCAAATGGAATAAATTATAAATTCAAAGAGCTGAATAGAAAATTTCAAAGGGCAACTCAAGAGGATAAAGTCAAATATTATCATGAGATGTGCCAAGACCTAGAATTAGGAAACCAAAAGGAAATAACACATTCAGCGTATCTTAAACGGAAAGAACTCAAGAATAAATTCAAGCCTCAAGTTTCAATATTGAAAGTCCCATGAGCAAAATAGTCAATGAACCAAGAAGCATAAAAAGGAGATAGAAGGAATACACAAAGTCACTGTACCAAAAAAAACTAATCAAAATCCAACTATATCAAGAGGTAGCATTTGTTATGGAACCAATGGTACTGAAGCCATTAGAGAAAAACGGGCCTCCAGGAATTAATGGAATACTGATTGAAATGTCTCAACAAGCTGATGAAGCATTCATTAGAAGAAATCACTTATATATGCCAAGAAATTGGGAAGGCAGCTAGCTGGTTAACTCACTAAAAGAGGTCCATATTTATAACTATTCCCAAGAAAGTGATCCAATAAAATGTAGAAATGTATCCAACAGTGTCATTCATATGACATGCAAGTAAACTTCTGCTGAAGGTTAGTCAACCATGGTTGCAGCAGTACGTCAACAGAGCTGCCAGAAATTCAGGCCAGACTTAGAAGGCGATATAGAACAAAAGATAACACTGCTGTCAGATGGATCTTGATTCGAAGCAGAAAGACCTTCACTTGTGTTTTATTGACAACAAGCATTCAACTGTGCAGATCATAACAAACAATAGATACCACTGAGAAGAATACAAATTCCAGGACAATTAACTGTGCTCATGAAAAACATGTGCATGATTAAAGAGGTAGTCATTTGACAGAGCAAGGGAATACTACGTAGTTTAAAATCAAGAAAGGTGTTCAGTAGGATTGGGTCCTCTCACCACACTTATGTAGTTTGTATGCTAAGCAAATAATCCAAGAATTTGGACTTTATGAAGAACATCGCATCCGAATTGGAGGAAGGCTTCTTAACAACCTGTAATATGCAGATGGCACAACCTTGCTTCCTGAAAGTGAGGAGGACTTGAAGCACTTGCTGATGAAGATCAAGGATTGCAGCCTTCAGTATGGGTTATAACTCAAAGTAAAGAAAATAAAAGTCTTCACAAATAGACCAATAGGTAACATCATGACAAACGCAGAAAAGATTGAAGTTGTCAACGATCTTATTTTGCTTGGATCCACAATCAATGCTCATGGAAGCAGCAATCAACTCAAATGATACCTTGCATTTGGTAAGTCTGCTTCACAAGACCTCTTTAAAGTGTTGAAGTGCAAGGATTAGTTAAGAAAATGAGATAAGGACCCTTCCTGTAGATTTCTAAAAAATATTTTAGCTGATATCTTTTCTAATAAACATAATTTCCTAAGGTAGTATTAAATAAAGGACGAGTACTAGGATTTTGCTCCTCAACTACTTTTTTAACTTGTAAATAGTATCTCTTAAAGTACAGTGAACCCCCACCACTTCGTGCTTCGACTTCCGCGGCTTCACTCTATCGCGGTTTTTGCGTAACAGCGCATGCTCTGTCATTACTGCCACTGATTGGCTCATACTGTACACGCTTGATGCCATAAATAATATAATAAATAATAAATGATCATTGTAACGTCCAAAATGTTTTACTGTATTTTCCCTTTTTCGTTTAATAAATTGGGTAATACGAGTGTAATGGTGACTAAAGGGTGTTTTTTCATGTCCTCTATGCTCTAACTACAAAAATATTTGATTTACAAATAAGGAATCCTACTTCGCGGAATTTCATTTATCACGGTAGGGTCTAGAACCGATTAACCGCGATAAACAAGGGTTCACTGTATGCATAAAAAGGGACACTATTTCAATAATTCGGGCCATACTTAGGGTCAGTAGGGGCAATGTTGAGAAGGATTATAGACCTCTTAGTAATTATTTCATAATGAATATGAAGTCCAAAAGGAATGCTTCCTAAAGTAAATGAACTGTAGAGAGAAATTTAGTCTAAGGAGAACCTAAAGATTCAGAAAGGCTAATCAATTGGGCTTTGACTATGCCGTTGTTCTTTGTACAAGTCCAAACTGAGAATGATAAGGGTGATGCAATGCATGGTACACTGTGAAGACTAAGCAGGTCCCTGATCACTGCAAAAACATGTCATGTTTCTGAGAAAGGTATGTTTTCAAGGACCCTCTTTGCTGCAAAAGAAGCAGTGGCATGTTGGTAAGGGAAAACCTCTACCCAAAGTGGAAACCTGCAAATCATGTCTGAGAACTATTTATAGCTGTTTGAAAGTGGAAGCAAGATTGAAAACTAATTGCCATTCAATTACAGAACCAGAGGGCAAAGGGTATTTCCCATATTTTGCATAGGGGTATGCAGAAGTTTAATTTAAAATTTTAGCATCAGGTTTTCACCATATCAGGATCTAGGTAACTTTCCCCAGTCTCAATTCCATCTGGCTGAGCAAGTGTCTTAAAAGTGGATGCCTTTCCTTTGGTGGGTTCAAAAATATTAGTTATTTCAAAAATACTACTTCTCTATAGGTTTGCCCAGAGGCCCCTCAACAAGGTCCTGTGTTCTAACCAGGGCAACAATGATTTGAGAAGCAGTCTGGTTAGCCACTGCATTGGCAAAGTTATTTCTTTTAATTTCTTCAATGTGGGACACTCCTTTCTGTTGGTGCACCTGTGTTTTCATTACAACAGTTTCAGAAGTAAGGAATAAGACATCTCAAAGGACTGCTAGTCAGGTCCCATTTTTAATATTGGGCTTTTGAGTGAAAAAATAGCCAATCTTTACAGGAGCAGGCAGCCTTAACTTTCTCCCAAAGAGCAGTGGGCGGTTTTGAATCGCCAACCTTGCAGTTAGCAACCCACTGCCTAACCCATAGCACCACCATGGCTCATTGTAGTTTCATGAGAAGATGTCAAAACCCCTTTTTGTTTCCATAGCATGCCAGACTGCATAAAGTCTTCTCGGGCTTCCCCGGAGCAAGTGCTCAGGTTTGAGTGAGGGCAGTAAGTTCAGCTGGCTGGGAGGAAGGACAGCAGAGAAGTCATAAAAGCATGGCCAGACTAATAATGAGAGTGCGGAGCTGGTTTCACAGAAAAACCACCTGTTGGTTTTAGGTGCCATCGAATCCATTCTGACTCATAGCAACCCAATGAAAAACCGAACAAAACATGCCCCGAAGGCAAGAGCTTTCACTGCCTCCAAAATGGATTAGATCCCTAGTAAAGGAGTACTGCAAAAAAATAAAAAATCGTGTCAGTGCTTTGACCTGGCCTGTGCCCACGATTTCTAAACCATTTTAGAGTTCTGCATTTCTTAACCAATGATCATGGAATCTGAAACCAAAGAAACGTACCTTCTGTTTTGTAAAAACAGAAAAGGGAAAGGCAAACCTTAAAATGAAACTCAGGGAGCTTCTATGCAAAGAAAGTGTAGGGTCAGGCCTAAGGATTATGTGTTTACCATGCTACAACTCTTGAATCCACCATGGATACAGATGGCCCCAAATTGACTCGGGCTGGTCCCATCGGCCCCAATCTCCAATGCTTTGGAAATAGCAGGTGCAAATTTACCTTTGCTTTGCTTCGTGGTCACCACGAAATGTCACAGTGAAGCACGAGGCACACTCTGCCAGAAGACAAAAAGTTTCATTGAAAAAAATGGTGATTTGTGAACCAGAATACACATTAATAACCAGGATGTTACACATCAGTTACCCACACTACATTTATCAGGTGGAGTAAACAAACTACTACGAACTCATGAACACAGCAGGTACTGGCAAAAAAAAGTTACACGTGGGTTGGTAAACTACAATTCTTTCAACATTATCAGTCCAGTTTTATAACCCACTGACCAAAGAAGAGATTCTTCTTGAGTCAAGCAATGCAAACACTCTAGACAAAAGATCTTTTAAGAAATAATGCATCACAAAATTTAAAATCTTGAACCTCTCTCCCTTTGGCTTACAAGCAGTTAGACTTTTACAAGGAGATGAATTGTCTCTTCGGAGACACAGAAGCAGAGATTTGAGGTTAAGCTTCAGTTTTATTCAAAATGGAGTTTAATTAAGATCTGGGCAGCCATGCCAAGGACCTGCTTTGGTGGATCACTTACACAGCACTCTTTCTCCAGTGCTTAGTACAGGATACGTTGAGTGACCTGATACATGAATGAATCGGGGCACTGGATCAAGACTAGCTGAATGTGCTCAGGGAAACGTCTTGGAAGAAAATCAGTCATTGGGTGCCAGCTGGAAGGCTGGGTAAAAATCTGCTGAGGGAACAGGGGAGAGACTGAAAATAGGCTAACAACAGACGCTGAAGACTAGAGGGGTGAAGGAGAGGCCCGAAAGAACCCTGCGGACTTTGGTAAACACAGAAGGCCCAGTAAGAAGTCAGGCAGTCTGGGTTCTGTCCTCTCTAAACTAAGGTGACCAGACATCCCGCTTTTAGCGGGACAGTCCCGATTTTTAACAATTTTTCCCACGTCCTGCGGTGTTTTTTAAAAAGTCCCGATATTTGGAAAGAATGCACGACAAGCGAGGGTAGACGGTTTTTGGCTGCCATGTGGCTATTTCACCCGGATATGAGTTTGATCAATGGTGGCCCACTTTACCAGTGTTAACATCTAGTCACCTTACTCTGAAACAGCTCCCCTTTTGGATGATCTCTGAAAAGCTTCACAACCGCCAAGACGTACTCCTGTCGTGGCTTAGTCAATCTGAGACTCGGCTGACGCTACTCCCAGGAGCAATCATGAGCGCACAAGACCCAGGACTTACATGATCGCCGCTGACTGTGCAGACAGCAGCCCTTTACTTCTTGAAAACCTACAAACCCCGTGCTGTTGGGTCAAGTCTGCCTCAGCAACACTCCAGGGCAGAGGAAACGGCTCCAAGACTTCCCAAGGCTGTCATCGCTATGGAGCGACATCTTTCTCCCACGGGGCTTCTGTTAGGTTGGAACTGCCAACCCTTCAGCGAGCAGTTGAGTGCTAACCACAGAGCTGCCGAAGTTCCTTTTCTGTTTACACGGTGCTTTTTAAATCACGGCCTCCTCGGCTCGTCACCAGTCATCAGACTGTATGTTGGACCTGTGGGTACAGGGAGCAAAGGCAAAGGTCCTGCTAAAATCCGGGGAAGTCTAGGAAGGTATTGTGCTTCCGCAGACGGGAACCAAGTATGTCTTGAAAGAAATGCAGCCAGAAGGCTCCCTAGAAGCGAGGATGGCAAGACTCCATCTCACACACTTTGGACATGTTGTCAGGAGGACCCCGCTCCTAGAGAAGAACCTCATGTTCGACAAAGGGGGCGGTTACGAAGAAGAGGAAGACAGTCAACTAGATGGGTTGGCACAGTGGCTACAGCAATGGGATCAAACAGGAGCAATCAGGGGGACGGCCAGAGGCCAGGAATTGTTTGCTCCTATTGTACCTGGGGTCTCTAATGAGTTGGAATTTTCTCTATGGCACCACCAACAGCACATAGGAATCAAGATCCCTACCATGGTTCTGGCCCCATTCAGTGCTAAGGATATACAGGTGGAGAGGAGTCAAGTTGCCCATGATATAGTGCGCAAGAGACTGTCAGAGGCTGACTTGCCTCCAGTCACTGTATTAAACCTTAATGATTCTGATGGTGTTTAAAAAATGAGCTGAAGGAACACACAGGAGGAAAAGAGACATTCTTCCAGGTGAAGATTGTACTCTAAACTGTCCATGGAGTAGGAGGAGGATTTCGTTGGTCTGCGGAGAGACAGAAGGGTATACCAGGCATGAGCTGACAGGGTCAAAATCTCAGACATGTGAAAGAGCAGGACATAGACCAAGCAAACAGTACAGTTCAGTGTGATGGCAGATGAGCCACTGTGATCAAGCTGATTCCAACTCAGAAATTCTCTGAGCGTAGAACTCTGTAAGTTTCCAACACACCCTAACTCTGTAAGAGTAGGTCTGTTCCGTGGGTTTCCAAGACTGTAAATATTTACGGGAGCCTCGGGTTTTTGCTGATAAGGACTGATAAGTTCGGATTGCCAGTCTTGCAATGAGCCCAATGCTGACTCCACTGTGCTAACAGGGCTCCTTTGCTGAAATGTTGGTCATTATTTGAGTGAAGAAAGTAGAGAAGGGCGGATGAAAAGATAGGTTAGAACTCCATTGGGAAGGAGAGCCTAAGAATTTTAATTTTTACGTGTGGGTGAAATGGGGGACTTTCTTATAAAAGAGAAGAAAAGAAAGGTTTCTTCAAAGGCATAGCAGGATCAGGTCATGCTTTGAGAAAGAAACTGAGAGAGAGTAGATAATGTCTAATCAGGCCCTCTCCTGGCATCGAAATAGTAAGCAGGATGGTGACAGCAACTAATATTCCTGAGTACGAACTAGTGTGAGGCCCTGTGCTAAGGGTCTCCATGGTGTCACCTCATTTTATCCTCACAGTCACCACATGAGGTAGTTGTTGTTATGATCCTAGTTCACAGTAGATAAGGAAACTGAAACACTTGCCCAAGACACAGCTAGTGTGAGGCTGAACCTCTAGCCAAGGTTGCTCTGATGCCCAAGCCCTTGCTTCTACCTACCAGGTAGAATTGCCCTCTCACTGCAATTTCTTGCAGGTAAATTCACCTGCATTGAGGCCCGGTTTCACCTGGAACGGCAGATGGGCTACTATCTGATCCAGATGTACATCCCCAGCCTACTAATTGTCATCCTCTCGTGGATCTCCTTCTGGATCAACATGGATGCTGCTCCCGCCCGTGTGGGCCTGGGCATCACAACCGTGCTCACTATGACCACCCAGAGCTCAGGCTCCAGAGCCTCTCTGCCCAAGGTAAGTCCCACCACCCTGGAGCAATACACCTGGAGAGATAAGAAGGGCGCCCATCTTTCCACTCTGTCTGGGACAAGTAGGACCCAAGGAATTTTTCAGTATTTCTTGATCTATACTTCATGGGACTCGGCATTCTGCTGCATTAACCACCACTACCACCACCCCAATAAATCAACCTTTATGATTAATACAGACTGCCAGGCACACCTGCTTCATTTATTATTAAGACATAACTCAACATTCTCCTCTTTTCACATTTAATGCCATGTGCAATAGTATGCCCTTGTCACCATTTGTGATAGATACCTTTTGTGGAAGGTAACCAAGACCTCAACTATATTAAAAAAAAAAATGCTAGAAAGATCCACAAAGACACAGCAAGGAGTAGTGCTTCCAACTGAGATTTGTTAAAGCAGCCTAGTAAGGGTGTACAGCGGACAATACGGGAAAAGGACAGTTTGGAAAAATCCATCTGCAGGCGTCCCAGTTCTTTCCATCCAGTGAGGAATCACAAAAAGAGCACTCACTTCTCCAGCAGCAAGCGTGCAGCAACACATGTGTGATATTTCCGCCCCAGGAAGCCCACTGGAGACTCGGCAGCCAGCATTTCTTTTCTTTTTTTTTCCCTCACAGAATCCGTCACTATTGAAACTCCAGGCTTGATTTTTTTTTTCTTTCACTTCTTTCCGCTTGGAATGTGTTCTTCCTTTCGATTTTCTAGTTCCAGATCTCCGTCCACGACAGCACTTTACGTCTTTTTCAGCCATCCCTTCAAAGCATCTCTTCAGCTCTTTTACTTCATTTCTTCCCTTCCTTTTAGCTATCCTACATTCAAAATCAAGTTTCCGAGTCTTTTATGACATCTGTTTTGTCGTATCTTTTTTTCCAGACTTTTTAATGACCCTTTGCTTATGTCATGAATGATGGTCTTTATGTCATTCCATAACCTGCGTGGTTTCTTTATCAGAATTAAATACATCAGATGTATTCTTGAGCTGGTCCCTAAATTCAGAGACAAAGGTGTTCTTTGTCTCTTATGAACTTGTTTTCTTTTTTTTTTTTACTTGAACTTACATGTGAGCAAATGATAGTCTGTTCTGTAGTCGACCCCTGGCTTTGATCTGATTGCTGTGATGGAGCTTCTCCATGGTCCCTTTACAAAGATATGGTCAATTGGTCTTGAAAAATCCTATTATATGATTGTTTCTATAGCCAAGGGCCGGCTATTGAGTTGCTGTGAGGTGGGAAAACATGTCTCTGGTATTTCAAATACCTGCAGGATCACCCAAAGTGAACAGGCTTCATCAGAACTTCCAGACTAAGAAGAAGGAATAGGCTCTCCAATTCAGAGAAATTAGCCCTGAAACCCTTATGTTTAGCAGCAAAACATTATCGCGTGAATAGCAGCCAAATATTGTTGGAGATCGTGCGAGAAGATGAACCCCTCAGGTCAGCAGGCACTCAAAACATGGCTAAGGAAGAGCTCCTTTCTCAAAGTAGAGTTGACATAACTACATGTGTGGGGGGCCTCCATTTGTTGTTGACCACGACTCAACATGAGAAGAAACAGCTGTAAACATCTATTAAAAATTGAAACTTGGAATGTACTAAGTATGAATCTAGAGAAATTGGTAGTAGTCAAAAATGAAATGGAACGATTGAACGATGGAATGTTAAGATAGCTGTAAATCAATAAAATGATTTTTTAAATGAAATGGAAAAAAAAATAAATGTTTAATGAAAACGGAATGCATGACTATCTAGAGCCTAGGCATCAATGAGCTGAAATGGATTGCACTGGCCATTTGAACCAGGCTCTCATTTGGTTTACCATTCCAGCCATAACAGATTCAGTAGGAATGGCATCACATTCATCCTCAGAAAGGACATTTCAAGACCTATCCTGAAGTACAATGTTGTTTATGATAGGATAATATCTATTGAACGCAAAGAAATCCAATCAATACAAATATTGCACAAATATATGCACTAACTACAAAAGCTAGTGATGAGGAAATTGAAGATTTTTATCAATGTCTTCAGTCTGAAATTGATCAAACATGCAATTAAGAATCATTGGGGGAATAACCATAGATAATTATTGATGATTAGAATAAAAATAGGAAGGAACAGTAATTGGAAAATATGACCTTGATGATAGAAATGAAACTGGAGATCACATGATAGACTTTTTCAAGACCACTTACTTCTTCACCACAAATGCCTTTCTTCAACAACACAAAAGGTGACTACGTGCATGGATTTCTCCAGGTGGAATACACAGAAATAAAATTGACTACATCTGTGGGAGAGATGAAGGAGAAACTTAACATTAGCAGCTAAAACCAAGTCAGGGGCCAACTGTGGAACCGACTATCAATTGCTCCTATATATGTTCGGGTTGAAACTGAAGTAAATTAAAACAAGTTCCTGAGAGCCAAAACATGGCCTGGAATCTATCCCATCGGAATTTCAAAAACATCTCAAGAAGAGATGTGTTGTACGTACAAGAATGACAGAGGACCTAGTGAGCCTGTGGGATGACATCAAGAATGCCGTACAAGAAGAGGAGCCCCTCCGGTCAGAAGGCACTCAAAACATAACTAAGGAAGATCTACTGTCTCAAAGGAGAGTTGGCCGTAATTACTTGTGTGGAGGACGTTTTAAAAGGTCACTTAAAAGACAGGGGGAAGGAAAGTTCCAAGTGGCTGTCAGAAGATGCTGAAACTTGTTCTTAGTCATCAAGGAGCTGAAGCAAATGGAAGAAAAACGCTAAGTAAAAGAGCCAAAGTACTGACAGCACTCACTTATCTAGGCCAAGAAATTTGCACAGCAGCTACCTGGCCAACTGTGTGGAAAATATCTGGTTTTGTACACATTCCAAAGAAAAATGCCCCAACAGAATACTCAAATTATAGAACAAGACTATTGATACCACATGCAAGTATAATTTTGCTGAAGATCACCCAACAAGGTTGCAGCAATGCATTGACAGGGAGCTGACAGAAGTTCAGGTTGGATTCAGAAGAAGAGTTGAACAAGGAATACCATAGCTGATGTCAGATGGATCGTGTCTGAAAGCAGAGAGTACCAGAAAGATGTTTGCTTGTGTTTCATGGACTGTGCCAAAGCATTCAACTGTGTAGATCATAACAAACTATGGATATAGCCTTGGAAAGAATGGGAATTCCAGAACACTTCATCGTGCACATGCACAACCTGGACAGGTACCTGAGGCAGTTATGAGAACAGAACAAGAGGATACCAGATGGTTTAAAATCAAGAAAGGGGTGTGTTGGGGTTGCATCCTCTCACCATACTTATTCGATCTGTATGCTGAGCAAATCATCGGAGAAGCTGGATTACATGAAGAAGGATGTGGCATCAGGTTGGAGGAGGGCTCATTAACAACCTGTGATATGCAGATGGCACAACCTTGCTGCTGAAAGGGAAGAAAGGCTTAAAGCACTTGCTGATGAAGAAAAAAAGCAACAAAGGGCCTTATGACTGGACCAATAGGGTAACATCATGATAAATGGAGAGAGAATATTGCAATTTTCAAGGATTTTATCTTACTTGGATCCACAATCAGTGCTCTTGGAAGCAGCAGTCAAGAGATCCACTGGTGCATTGCACTGAGTAAATTTACTACACAAAACCTCTTCCAAGTATTGAAAAGCAAGGAGGTTACTTTGGGGACTAAGGTGAGCCTGATCCAAGCCCTGGTATTTTCAGTGGCCTCATCTGCATGTGAAACTTGGCCATTGACTGAGGAAGACTGGAGAAGAATCGATGCGTTTGATTTCTGGTGCTGGGGAAGGATATTGAAAGTCCCATGGACTTACAAAGGAGCTGGCAGATCTGTCTGGACCGAACCAGAATGCTCTTAGGCACGAGGATGGCAAGGCATGCTCTCCCGTGCTTCGGACGTGTCGTCAGGAGACACCAGTCCCTGGAAAAGGACGTCTTGCTTGGTAAAGTGGAGCAAGAGTGAAAAAGAAGACCTTAGACATGACGGATTCCCACAGTGGCTGCAAGCGTGGACGCAAACATAAGAACAATTGTGAGGGTGGTGCAGCACCAGGCGGTGGTGCTTCCTTCGGCCGTGCACAGGGTTGTTAAGCGGAGTAAACAACACCTAACAACAACAGCAACATAACCAAATCCATATTTTCCAGCTTCTGGCCCGTCTTTGTTTCCCACTTTTAAGTTCCAATCACAGGTAATGAAAAGCTTGAGTTGCCTAAATTCCAGATTGCAAAATTGGTCAAATTTCTTCATCTTTGTCTGATTAATGGTTGATTCATAAGTTGATAATGGTTGTATTTACTGGTCTTCTCTGTGTGTGTATATATATTTATTTATCACTGATAGTGTTGTATTTCAGAATAACTCTTGAAATGCTCCTATTTGCAATGAATGCGATGTGATCCTCCTCAATTTCGCATTCCAAGTGCAGGAGCCGTGAATGACCTAATGTGGCCCCTCTTGCCAAACTTTCTAACTCCCACCAAACGACCTTTCCCTGCATGAGTCTGGTAAAAAGGTGGGGGAAGAAATTGATGGGATTCACATTTCAGTAATTTGGACAGCATTCCGTGGAGTGCCATCCTGCTGTATATAAAATGAGCCCTCTGAGAAGCGAGAGCAAGGATGTCATTATGCGCAAGAGCCAAGGATGGAGCTCAGTGACTCTCCTGGACCTAGAAGACCACTATAGGCTCAAAGGAGGAGCAATAGAAACAGGAGAGCCTGGAACAGGGAGGTGGACTTCTCAACCCACAGAGCAAATAAAGCTGAATGCTTTTGTGCAGGAGGCTGATTTGCCACATGTGATAGTCCAGGTTGACTGGAGAAACTAATCCAGGAACATTCATGTATGTATATGAAAGAGCTTGATATTAAAGAGTAATTGTATATTAAGAAAACATCTACGCCCAGTCCAGCTCAATTCCATAAGTTTGATATTAGCCCATAGGTCCAATACCAGTCTATAAATT